TGTCACATCACCCTTTATGTGTATGTGTCCGAGTGCATTTTGTTCCGCACTTTCAACTCGAAAAACACGTAAGTTGGGAAACTGAAATTTAAATAGAATGTTCACCGCCTACGTGCGGCCCTGCAAACTTAAAGTCAGTCCCGAATACCACGTACGACTTTACGTAAATTTTAACAAGGAAAATTATTATCTCAGGAACCACGAGTGCTAGGGGGCTGAAATTTCAGAGCAATGCCCCCCTGCCTAACTACGGCCCACCAAGTTTAAAATAACTTTTCCTGCTTGCCAAGGTACCACGTATAGCCCTGTAAAGTTTTGGCGGGAAAATTACCACCTTGGAAATCACAAGGGCTGGGAGGTTGAAATTTCCGGGTAATGTCTCCTGTTCCCGTACTAAACCGCGAGCTCAAACTCAGCTTTCACGTAAGTCCGAGTCCCACGTACGGCCTCATGAAAGTTTTGGCTGGAAAAATTATTTTGGGAGCGAGAAGAGTTAGAAGGCTGAAAACTTCAGGAGGATTTTTTCTGCCTATGCAGGGATTATCAAACTGAAATTTAGCTCCCAAATATGACGAGGTCTCACGAAAGATCACGGGGAAGTTTTGGCGCGAAAGTTACTTTGAAGCCAGAGAACTAGAAGGTTGAAATTTTAGAACGACACCCACCGTCCAAGGTTTCAAATTCAGCTTTCACGTACGTTTGCGTTTAATGTACCGGAATGCGAAATTTTTAATGGGAAATTTCGCAGCTTAGAAATCAAGCAGCATTTCAGCTACTATTTTGGCACAGACCAAAGCGTAAAACAGTGACAGTCTCTAGAAGACGAATGTCCGCTGGACGGAACTGCACAAAACGCATGATCACACCAGACACCGTGGCGCGCGCCGTTAATTATAATTTATTATTTATCGCTTATTATGTTTTTTATTAGTGCGTGTGTTTCGTAGAATCCGGAAATTTGTGATAAAAGCTTGATTTGAAAAAATGAACATCGAGATTTGGACTTACAAAAACGACACAAAAAAATCAGTTTTCAAGATTAACAAATTAGAAAATAATGTGAAAAAATTAATATATGTCTGCTTTGAAGAAACCTAGCAACTTTTATTTCGAACACTGAAAGAGATCTTACGCAAAGGGACGGAACGGGGAAAGGGGTAGGGCAGGGAGGGTAACCTAAAGTGATAAGTGGGAAATAAGTTTCGCCTGAAGCATACTGTCATATCTTCCAATAACCAACAAGAATTAAAAAAAAAAGTTACAAATGAAAAGGCCGATACCCCAACGCTTTAGTGATCGGTTGATTTGTTGAAGAGCTTCTGAATAATCTGTTGATGCGCTTCTCAGGATATACTTCGCGATCATTTTCAAATAAAAGGAAGCTGATGCACTCAGGCTTTTTTCTGTTT